GAGAGAGAGAGAGAGAGAGAGAGAGAGAGAGAGAGAGAGAGAGTCCACTCCACTCCTCTGGATTCAGGGTACTCTGAAGTAGCCAGCACCAGAGACTACTGTTTGTGCATAGCTAAAACCATGATGATTTTCTAACAACCTGGATATTTCACATGAATGAAGTAGGAACTGGGGCACTGCACCCAGTGTTTGTTTACTCTTTTCTTCTGATGAGGGGTGGAGGAGCTCCTTTGCCATACCTTGTGAATTTGTTATTCTATTATTACTTTATTATTGTTGTTTTAGGGCTGTAGAAAGACAAACATTAGCATCTATGTTTCTGACATAGTATGCTCAAAACAGAGAAGGGTTACCTAGAGAGTTCTGTGGTTTGAAATCTGGTTCCCAATGGAACAGGGTTAAGAGATGATAGAGCTGGACTGGAGAGATGGTTCAGCACTGAAGATCACTTAGCTCTTGCAGAGTACAAGCTCAGTTCCCAATACCCTTATCAGGCAACTCACAACCACCTGTAAGTCTAGATAATGCAACATCCTTTTCTGGCCTCCAGCGGGGGCCACCCCCACCCCACTCGACCCATGTGCATATATATACACAGCCACACACATTAACTAAAGATAAGAAATCGTATGTCCAAGACCTAGTGCTCCCATAGCAAGATGAGAGGTGGAGACAGGAGATGCCCTGAAGTTCACAGACCAGCTAGCCTGGTGTACACAGCAGTGAACAAGAGACCCTGATTTCAAAACAAAGAGAAGGGCCAGGGAAATCACTCAGGGAAATGCACAAGCTTGACAACCTGAGTTCAATCTCCAGAACCCACATAAACGTGGAAGAGAAAAACCTCTGCAGAGCTGTCCTCTGACCTCCGAATGTGTGCTGCGCCATGTGTATACAAGGATGCATGCACGCACACTAAACTGGGATGGAGAGACGGCTCAGCAGGTAAAGGCGCTTGCCATGTAAGCCTTACAACCCTGGTACAATCCCTGGAGTCCACAGAGGTAGAAGGAGAGAACCAATGCCAAAATGTATACTCTAATCTCCACACACAAACATCATGCACATAACAATATTTTAAATTCTTATTTATTTTATGTATTTATATCTGTGTGCTACATGTGTGCCTGGTGTCTGCAGAGGCCAGAAAGGACATCAGATCCCCTGAGACTGGAGTTACAGGCAGCTGTTTGCTGCTATGTATGTGATGGGAAATCTAATCTGGGTTTTCTGGAAGATAGCCAATGCTCTTAACCTTTGAGGAATCTCTCTGGCCCCAATAATCATTTTAATTTAAAAGGGGAGGAGGATGAAAGGCAAGGACCAACACCCAAGGTTGTCCTCTAGGCTTCACATCTTTACTATAGCAAGTACACACACACACACACACACACACACACACACACACACACACACACACTTTCCATAAACATTCTTAAAACCAAGATAGTTCTGAACAAAGCCTGTAACTAAGGGAGAAGACGACTCCGTTGATAAAGTGGCTGCTGTGCAAACATGAGGCCCTCAGCTCACAGCCCCTGGCTGCATCTACAAGTCTAGAACTAGGGAACAAAGACGAAGATCCCTGGAGCTCTATGGCCAGCCAACTACTGACAAGTTCCAAGTTTAGTGAGAAAAGTAACAAAAAAACTTCTAGGTAAGCTTTGTTGACACCCATGGGAAGCCTGCCCTTTCTGAATAGAAACAGGAGGAGTGGAGGGGGGGGAGGGTCAGGAGGAGAGGAGAGAGGGGAAACTATGGTTGGGATGTAAAATAAATGAAAAAATTAATTAAAAAAGTAAATCAAACTAAAATAAATATAACAAAATATAAAAGTGAAAACATGATTAAAGCATGTTAAAAGTCATACAATTATGTCCATAAAGAGACAGCGTAGCACTTAAAAGCACTGGCAGCCCTTGCTGAGAACCCAGGTTCAGCTCATATATCGGGGCTCACAACCACCTGTAACCCAGTTCTAGGGATCCAGTGCCCTCTTCTGGCCTCTCCAGGTACTGTATGCTCATAATGCAGATACAGACAAGCAGCTACACACAGATGTCTTAAAACAAATTAACTTTTTTAGATTAAAAACACCTAACAAAATTCAATACCTATGAACAAGAAAAACACTTGAAGAAAATGGGAACTGAAGGAGAGCTTCTTGTCATGATAAGATATAAATACCTTGGTCCTAAAGCCAAAATAGTATTTAATGGAGAAACGTTACAAACAGGAATAAAGCAGGATGGCCACCATCTCTGCTACTACTCACTATTGCATTAGGATGACCAGCCAACAATGAGAACAGGAAAAGCACACTGAGGTTTAAGAATGGGTATGAAAATGCCGGGCTTCGGTGGCGCACGCCTTTAATCCCAGCACTCGGGAGGCAGAGGCAGGAGGATCTCTGTGAGTTCAAGACCAGCCTGGTCTACAAGAGCTAGTTCCAGGACAGCCTCCAAAGCCACAGAGAAACCCTGTCTGCCCCAGGGGAACATCGGAAGACAGAGGGACAGAGGCAAAGAGCTTAGGTGGGCGTAGATCTTCCTTTTAAAGGTGTCCTTTGCACCTGGGATGACCAGGGTACTGCCTGAATGCATTCTGCCAGGTGATGTGCAGACCAGCATAATGCCTGAATCCTTACATCGGGAGGCAGAGGTAGATGGATTTGAGTTCAAGGCCAGCTTGGTTGACAGAATGAGTTCTAGATCGGCCAGGGCTACACAGAGAAAACTTGCTTTGAAAAAAAAATACAAACGGCGAGGCGTTGGTGGTGCACGCCTTTAATCCCAGCACTGGAGAGGCAGAGCCAGGTGGCTCTCTGTGAGTTTGAGACCAGCCTACAAGAACTACAAGAACTAGTTCCAGGACAGCCTCCAAAGCCATAGGGAAACCCTGTCTCGAAAAACCCAAAAACAAACAAACAAACCTAAAAATATTTAAAATTAAAAAAAAAATAATTAAAGCCATCTAAAGATTAATATAAAAATCGATGCATACAACCATAAACTATGACGGTACAGTTTCCATGGCCCAATGTCGTATGATAAAGAACTTAAGCTCCTCAGCACTGTCACCCAGTGATAACACATGGCGGGGCCTAATGAGGTCTAGAAGGCTGGCAATCTTTGGGGGCGGGGGAAGCTCGAGACAGGGTCTCACTATGTGGCTCTAGCCGTCCTGGAACTCGCTATGTAGACTAGGTTTGCCTTTGCACTCACAGGCATCCAGAGTATAGCCACCCTAATCTAAAACAGGGCTAAAAGTATTGCCATTCTTACTAAATCTACATGTTACGACTACATATCAACACATTGGCTAGGGTTCGCCAGCTCCGGCAGGAGACCGTTCCAAATTCTGTTTCTAAACATCCACACTCACGTCCTACTAACAAGTCAAGTCTTGGGGAGTTCAGCAGCCTCCGGAACCCACAGGTGCGGACACCGGGAGTGCCTGCCAGGTGAGGTCCATCCGTCCACCGGCCACCGCCGGGGAGGCTGTCAGCGGAAGGGTTTGCAGCGGGGTGTAAAGCCGCTGCTGTAACTTCAAAAAAAAAAAAAAAAAAACACTGTGAAAAACCCCCTCCCTCGGCCTCCGTCTCCACCCGCGTAGACCCCGCACTCACCTCGCCGGGCGGCCGTGAAGGTGAACGAAAGGACGCACACAGACGGGTGGCTTCGCGCCGCGGTCACAGTGACCCACCCGGGGC